TATCCTAAGCATAGCACTTCCTTTTAAATTATAAGACATCCTGATTCAGACTTTGCTAGATGTAGGTTTGATAGGAAAAGCACTTCTAGAACCTACCAATTAATACGACAATCTTTAGTCTACTAGTCTAGTAGAAAATAGAACTTAATAGCCCTGTCTATTACACAGAAGCTGAATATATAGTCTTAGAAAGTTGTGGCACAAATCTATTTGTTAAAAGTAATAAATTCTAAATTTAGGACTACTTATAACCACCATTCCAATCTTATGCGATAATATTAGTGTCATATGCATTTTAAAGAATCCAATCAAATACTCTAGGACTAAACACTATGACATGAGGAACCATTTCATTATGGACCATATAACCAAAGAAGATATAAATCTACATCATGTAGCTACTGAAAATTAGCATGCGGACATCTTTACAAAACTAATGGATTTTAAAACTTTAGCACCTTAAGAACTAAATTAGGTATCATTGATATTCATGTTTGAAACTATATGTTTTGAAAATATGAAATATGATTGTTATATTTTATTATTTTGTCTTTCAGTGTTTTATGTTTTTCTTTATGCATGTGTTTATTTATTTGATTTAAAATTTAAGAATTTAATCACAACTTAATTCAATAGTTGAACTCTTCTTTAAATAAAAATCTTACCTATTTTTGTAAGCAGTGATTGATTTCTCTACAATAGTTAAGGGAAGAACAATTGAGAATTATCCCTCTTCCTTTAACTCTTTTAGGAGTGTAATTTCTTTTTGAATTAAAATCCATTTAAAATTAAAAATTAGGCAAAAAATAGAGATCTATTTCATCTTCATATAGATCTCTATCTCATTTAAATATTTTTGCAAATCAATGAATATATTTCAAATTTTCTTAATCAAGTTGTTTGTCTATATTAGATTGATATTATTTTGGGTTATAGTTTATCAATGATAGAGCTGCGGCTATCCATTCCAGGCCATTTTTTAGCCCAATTTTTGGCCCTAAAATGTCAAATCGTTCTTCAATATTCCAAACTCATTTTTGACACATTTAAAATGATTCAGGACATCTACGCCCAAGATCGGAGCGCATTTGAATTTAAAATCACTGATAAAGTTCCCACGAGATACGATACAATTTTTTGGGCTTCTGGAGCTTCGTCGTTTGAAATTAGGGGGCAATTGATACGACATCAAAAAATTATCTTGATCGGGCGTGAAACCTGATGCAAAATTAAGTTGGAAACTTCCAAAATTAAAATTGGGACAATCCAAACTCCGATTTTAGCAAACTTACGAATACAAACCCAACGACACCCAATTCAACCCAATCCAAGCCCAAACAGGTCCAAATCAAGGGTTAGAAGTGTTGTTGGAAGGTTAAAACCATAATGGGATTACCAAACAATTACCAAACATAACGTGCTAATAGTCAAATCAAGCAGCTCGACAAAGTGAATCCAACGAGCCAAAGATCACTAAATTCTGACATCAATAAGACATTCAAATGTCCATTAAATGGTCCATGATCAAGGAATTCAACATCGGTCGTCCATCCAACCACTCCCTATTTACCCATGATCTCCCACCTATTTACGGGCCATGCCACTCCAAAAGTATATAAATAGAGCCCCCTTTTCTCTTGAAACGGACCACAAGCCAAAGGATTCAAGAGAGAGATCGGAGATCTCTCTTGCCTCCTTACTCCTCCTCGACCACCGCCTAAGTTCTATCGGACCACCGCCTGACATCGTTGCTCTGTTAGACCACCACTTGAGGCCCTCACCTCCACCGGATCAGCACTTGAGGCTCTAAGCTCCGCCGGACCACCACTTAAGGCCCCACCTTCGTCGAACCACCACTTGAGGCCCTCACCTCCGTTAGACCATCACTTGAGGCCATCACCTCCACCGAATCACCACTTGAGGCCTTTACCTTTTCCAGACCACCACTTGAGGTCCTGAGCTCCGCCAGACCACCACTTGAGGCCTTCAGCTCCGCCGGACCACCACTTGAGGCCCTGGAGCTCCGTCGGACCACCACTTGAGGTCTAGACTTCTGCCAAACCATTACTTGATGCCCAAAGTTTCGCAGGACCATCATTTAATGACGGAATTCCACTGGACCACCACCCGATGTTGAAGTTCAGCCAAACAAATGCCATGTTTGCAACTAACGCCCGAATTTTCAAGTAACACCAGACTTCTAGTAGTCCACCAAGTGATGATGTGATTTTATCCTCGTTTGACACTAGATTTCAACCAACGATTGACATTTGTAATCTGAGAACCCTTATGGATGAGTCAGCACATTGTAATCTACCCGAACACTAGTGGAATCATTTCAGACTGGGCCAGGCACCGTAGTTTTTCCCCTTTACAGGGTTTTCCACATAAAAACATCTTGTGTTCTCTGTGTGTGAGCCAGATATTTGTACAACGCTAAGATGCAAATTTTTAACTCTATCGTTGCGTATATTCTTGCCCGTAATATAGCTTATTATGGATTGTGCAAATATATTTGTTGAATGTGTTTTATTATTTCTTATGAAACTTGTTTTTATTTTGGACTCTATTTTTATGGGTTACATATTATGGCTTGTTTCCCTTAAAGTTTTTATTTTATACATGTTTTGAATTATGTGCATGTATTATGAAAATTCGTGTAAATAGAGGGGGTTGTCAATTTTTTTTACAAATACTACATGTTTTTGGTGGCTAACCGGTTGTTTAGCCGTCAAAAACAACAATACTGGAAGGCACATTTAGCAGTCAATTTTGTAATGTTTCTATCGGTGATAACAGGAGGCTAACCGATGGCTAAGCCATCGACAATATCGGTGTTTTCTACGGCCAGTACATCATTGGTAATTATCCGGCAATCACCGGCAATTTAACCGCCATAATTTATCATCTATTTTAGCCTGCGGAAAATTGTCGAAAAGCTTAGCCTCCGAAAAATGGCTGTTGAATTTCCTTTCCTATACTGTTTATTCCACCGATTTATAAACCATCGAAAAATTACCATAAAATTTACTAACCGTTGGAAAACACACATTAACCGTTGGAAATCACCGCTGGTAACTAACAATTTTCCTGTAGTGTGTGGAATAGGCACAACCTCTTGTCCCTCATTTTGAGCTACAGGAGAACCATTACCAATATTAGCAAGAATAGCACAATCCAAATCTTGAGGCACCACCCCAGCTACAATATTAATAGAAGAATCACTGAGACCATGAATAGGTTTCAAAGAAATATAAGCCGCAACCCCCAGACTCACTAACTTAACAGGAGGATCACCAGCCAAAGGATGCAAAACAGGGCATTCAACTTTTAAGTGCCCAAAGCTTTATAGTGATAATAATAAGAGGGCAATTCTTCCATCTCCACATATTGAATGTAACCCATAGATTCAGAACCTAGCTAAACTTAATTAGGATAATGTTTAGTGACATCTAACTCAAATAATATACGAGCAACAGAAGGCCTTGTGCCATTAATGGTAGCATTATGTGATCTTAATAGAGACCAAATTTAGATCCTAAATCATGTAGAATGCGGGGGTAGAATATATGTTGTCTAAGAATAGATGTGGTCGAAGATTGGGAAAAGAAACTCATATAGGAATTATAGGGGAGTCCACATTAACATCAAAATGAGGAGTCCACTTAAAAAGCTTCATAAAACAATAGCTGACAAAGTAGGGGCAGTGGAAAAATACTTTGCAGTAGTCTATGTCGTTTACTAATTTAATCAACACATTTTTAAGATTAAGCAAAGTGACAAAGAAATCACCAAAGAGTTTTATGTTAAAAAATTTCGAATCACATCAAGAGGTGGACGACGCCCTGAAAATTTCCCAACCAATGCAAACTCAAAAGGCGCCGCAAGAGTAATCATTTCTTCATCCGAAAACAACAAAGCCAGTAATCCATGACGCGAAGAAATTTTAAGCAGATGAAACTTCGGAGAAGCCAAAGGGAGAGACAAAACATCCTTAAAGGATCTCAATTTGGGCTTCTCATCCAAAATCCAGGGGTCACTCACACGATTCGCAGCAATCAGAACTAAAAAACCGGCTTAAGGAAGAAAATCAAAAGAAAAACCCACAAGATTTGAAAAAGAAGAGTATTACTCGACCGAAGCAGAACAGAGCATAGGTGTAGCGGAGAAGAAAACCCTAGACATCGTGATAGACTTCTTCCATTCAATTCATCTCCAATATTCCCTATCACAACTAGGTTAGCCTACATTGTAACTTATTTTAACTTCGTTGTCACTTTTGAATCATTTTTATCTCCATGTGTATAAAATTAAGACTAAAAATTTTCTCTATTTTGCCCTAAATATTAAAATGAAAGTTGATATGTGCATGATGAAGCTTGATAATAATGTGCACCATGAAGTCTGGTAATAATGGAGTTGCTGGAAATAGCCAAATGATGATTTTTTTTTAGTTGATCATTGTACATTTAATAGAAAATCATCTGATCTATCGATCTGTGAAATTCATTTCTTGTACAAATGGCATTCAGTGCAATCTTATAAAGGATAAGAAAATATAGAACTTTGATTTTATCTGAAGCCTTCATATTTTTCACTGCATTCATCTCAAATATATTCTAACATTTATTATAAAAAAAAATAGATATATATTTTCTCCACAAATTTCTTAAAAACAAAGTAAATAAAATAAAAAATTATAATGAAATAAAATTAATATTATTATCTATAAAATAAAATAAATATTTAAAATTAAGTTATTTAAAATTTAAATATTAAAAAATATAAAACTTGAACCGGCCGTTTCAAGAGAACTGTGACCGGTTGCCGGTTCACCGGTTGAACCGGCAGTTTTGGACAAAACCGGCCGGTTTGAAGATAAGCCGGTTTTTAGGTTGAACCGAACTGGCCTTTGGACCGGTTCACGGTTGAACCGGTCGGACCGGCCGTTCCAGCCCGATTTTTAAAGCATTGTTCTTTCCCATCAATAAAAAGAAAAATAATTAAATTAATATTTATTTCGATCACCAGCTAAAAAGACACCATGGTCATCGGAATATACAATTAAACTGGCCCAGGGGCTTTCAATATTTTCTATCCTCTAACCACGCTCACTCGAATAAAAAAAAAAAAAAAACTTGAGTAATAACAAACATAAACACCCGCTTACACTGTGAGCTTATACATTAAAACAATTTTAAACCACAAAATACTTCCTTTTAAAAACCATCAATGAATTTGATTGTTAGAAAGACAGTCCGCCGAGGAAGGCGACTCCGGTGGACGGTAGCCATGAGGAGCCATAGATAAAATTAGCGACGGTGAACTTTCCAGCCTCGTCCGGCAGGGTAATAACCCTGTATCCTGGCCACTGCACCCTCTTTCCGACGGCAGCTCCCGGCCCGTAGTTCATATACTCTCCGTAGTATAAAGTGTCAAGGGCAAATGATGAAGTGTTCCATGGTAGCCACCCACTCGGCTCAATGTGTCCTCCCATATACGAGAGCAAGTATACCACTCTAGAGTACATCTTCCATGGGCGCCCAAGAAACGTCTGAAAGCTCGAATCCCCCACACTGGCGTTGAGGTCGCTCGTCGGTAAAATCTGGCAGTCGTGGATTGAGATACCGGTGTTCTGGTTCGGATCCTTGCGGTTCTGCGCAGTAATGGTGACTTTCTGCATCGGAAGTGGTTTCCGAGCCCAAAGGCCGCACTTTTGGAGCACAACCGCGGCGTTGCCGAAGATAAAATCGACGGTTCCGTAGATGTCACATTCCCGGAAAAATTGCCTCTGCGAGTGCACATAAAGTGTGTCTTGGTAACCGATGATGCTGCAACGGTACACCACCGCGTGGTCGGCTCCGACTCGCAGCGCCACCGCTTGGTGCTTGTATGGCCCCGCCCAATTCTCTATTGTCATGTCCTTCATTATAAACCCGGCTCCTGTCGCGGCTGCAAGCACAAACTGGTAAAAAAATTTACGACTCACAAATGTTTGATGAAATGCCTCAGAGGAGATTTACATACCGAAAGTGGCTGTGTGGAAGGTGGTGTAGTTTTCGGATACGCTGCGTGAGCCGGAAACGATGGTTTTCCCCTTGCCATCGCCGACGAACAAGAGATTGATCTTTCTGCGGGAGACTTTAATGTTCTCCTCGTAGCGTCCGGCCTTAATGTAAATAATGATACGGCGGTAGCTTCCCTCTGGAGCGGCCTTAACAGCATCGTAAATAGTCTTATGCGTTCCGTTGCCGTCCTTTGAAACAATGAAGTCCGGTTGTATTGTCGGAGCTGGCATCTGGAGGAGTTTCCGATCTCTCGGTTTCACCCAATTCGGGAAGGTATCGTCGTCAGAGAGAAGGCGGCGCTTCCTTCGATGCTCAATGGGCACGCCGGCGAATTCCTCGCCGACGCTCGTGGCAGAGAACATGGCGAGGCAGTTGCTCACAAGCTCCGACAGGTCTTTCAAATGTCCTGCCATCTGCGCTTTCACATAGCCATCGGGGACGCCGTCGAAGCCCTCGGAGCAAGTATCGTGATTTGTCATCGCGGCGCTGAGCCAGGTCACTACATCCTCTCGCGGATGGCCGCCGCGCGAGACGGCCAGGAGTGATTGGCTGAGCTGGTCGACGGAGTCGTCGAGCAGTTCTATGCAGTCGTCGTAGGCGGCGCGGAGGCGCGGCTCCATGGGCGTTGAGGCCATCGCCGACGCCCCGTATAGCGCGGCGCCGACGCGGTGCAGGGTCATGTTGAGAGAAATGTGAAGGAGATCGCGCTCGCCGACACCAGAGAATTTCTCGAGTAAGCTGAAGCAGAGTGACGGGTAACGGGCCAGGCCGCAATTACGGGTAATGGCACTGGTCGGGCTTTGGTCTATTAGCTTGCGGGCGGGTCGGTGGGCGTTGCTGCGGAGAAGCAAAGCGGCGGCGGAGACGAGAAGAAGAGTGAATATTAGAGTAAATAGGAGGAAGCGAGCGTATCGGCGACGGGAGGAGAGGGGAGGAGTGTACTCGGACGGGCTGATCCTGTCGTAGCCCATGGTTGCCTGAAGTAACTTTGGCGGCGAGGAAAAGGAATGCTTACCGGTGCTTGTGACTGCTTGATAATCTGAGACTCTGTAGTTTTATAAGGGAGAGGAAAGGCTTTGTAAGAGTTAATGTGTTAGGTCGGTGAGAAGTCCATTTTCTTCCAGGCTTATAGCCATGAGCTGGCTTCAACTTTTGATTGGTCGGGATGTCTTAACTATGCGAGTGCCCGTAGGAGTGAAGACGACGATCCACGGTGGATTTGGCTTCATTGCAGGGAATTAACGGTGGATTTTGCGCGTGAAACCCCGCATGCGAGCTTGTTCCTCAACTGTGTAAGCCAGTGATGTAAGGAAGAAAAGTTCCTGACGGCCTTCTATTGTCATTAAAAGAAGCATTTTTAAAATAATTGAAACAAGTTCAAATCTCAAAATTTCCACTCACTAACACGGCCAAATATTGCGTCCGGTCACCGGATGTCCGGACATCCAATCCGGTGATGTCATGTCACTCAAATACATTGGATCCCGATATATTTTTGTGACATGGCAACACCGGATTGGTGTCCGGACGAATCCGGACACCAGGTACAATAATTTGCCCACTAATAGAGCGCTGCAATGAGTACTCATAGTCACATCCATCCATCTATCCACCCATACTCAATGGACATGGGTGGGTATGGGTACACCCATGGCCTCGTGAATGGGCATGGGTAGATACTCAACATCAGGGGACAAACCGATCGATTTACATTACTAATTATCATATGCATGTAGTATATTACAGTAAGCCTTACTAGCAGTGCGTAGTATTAAACCGCGTTGTGACCACGATAAATTTTGATATGTGGCTTAAAAGTTTGCTGTTAGAGAAAAGGTTAACAAACCTCAATGCCATTAATCATGGCAGACTGCATTCAAGAAGTGTAGAAATGGATGGATATGACATTCCGAAAGTAATCATAGGTGGGTGTGGGTGGGCAAAGCTTGTCAACGCAGAGCGTGTAGGGCTTTGCTAACTAATAATTAATTAAAAATCAACTCTTATAAATTTTTTTTCTCAAAATAACGATATTCTTAATCATGTTGCAACGGTCATCTATGCCATTGATAACAACCTTCTACTAACAGCATGAGGTCTTCATCCCAGGTTTCTACTTGACAACGATGTACTTTCCAGACATCGAAGGTGCTTTCCATTTTTATTAACTTTAATCGGTGATTTTGGAAAAATCTGGTGTGGAATTAACTCTTTTGTAAGCTCAGTACCTCTCTTTGGATCGGCCTTGGACGAGAGGAGACGGATATTAATGATATTCGTCTTAGATCTCTTTCATGCGCCCTTTAAAAACAAGTCTTTTCCTAGGGAAGTTTGCGTCTTTGAAAGATCCTATGGACTCTGTAAGAGTTTAGCATGAGCTGAAAGAGAGATGTCTTTATCACAGCAAAAGGAGATTGAAAGCTAAATTTAGAGGTATGATTGAGCGGAATCCCCTCACAGGAGGGATCATTTTTTATTTGTCAACGAGCTTTTAAGTTAAGCTTATAGAACTAAGAGTTTATTGATCCACGAGCTTAAGCTTAAATAACTATTTGTACATCAAATGAGCTCAAATTTGTGCTTCGCTAAGCTTGGCTCATTCGCTTTTGAGCTGGCTTGAATAATTCTCATTTCCTTTGTATCATTTGATTTAGGTAATTGAACTCTTGTTTTGGTTTATTCACTCATGAACTACTTTCTTGTACATATGATAGCAGAATTTTCAATGCCTAATCTAGTGAACAACGAGCTCCTATTGTGACTTATCCAGTGGTCCACCGTTGCCTTCTTCGCCAAGTGTTCGACATACCTCGAGGCACTCAAATTCCTTCATAAGCATATGTACTTCTCACTTGTACTTGGCTCATGCAACTTGAATATGCCCAGAGCTATGATTTTTAAGGCGTTTGTTGGTTTTATGAGCCTCCTGAAATTTTATTTAGTTTACTTATTAATGTATTCAGTTAGATTCATAATATTATATATGTGTGTGAGTTTATCTAAATTATTTAAAATAAATCTAAATATGTACAAATTATATTTTGCTAAAAGTTATTTTATTATCACTAATATTTGGCTTGATGTTAAATCCATTTGATTCATTAGATTATTTAGATATCATTTGAGGGGTTATGGTCCACTTTTAATTTAAATTGAATTTATTAAGTTTTTTAAAATATTATTTAATTTTGATATTGTGTAAGCTAGTTAGCAATTTTTACAATTTTTATAGGTATTTGGAGACTTTAACTTACCCTCGTGACTTTAATGTGTTTATTTTCTCTTGAAGTTCTTAAGTTGTCTACTTTCTCTAAATATTTATTTATTGCTCTTTAATTTTTCACCTTGTATTTCTCTTGTAAATATTTATTTTTTGGAGAAAGTATTTATTTTTTGGTGAAAAAAATATATGAACATCTTAGATTAATTTTTTTATATTTAAATTTCTTCATCCATAAAATTAACAAACCAATCCATTATTTTTGGCATAGATTTACTTTCTAAATCTAGCACATATGAAGGTTTACTTTTTATGTATATTTAAATTTAAAGTATTTATTTTATATGATTTAAAAAATTTTCAAAAGAAAAGGTATTCATATAAATTAAAATATAAATATATTTTATAGAAAGTAAATATTACATTTTATTTGCTAATTGTGAGGTGATTAATAACACAATATAAAATCAGCTCAAATATATTTGTTATTTGATTATATAATAATTTTAGTTTTATTGTCAATAACAATTTTTTTTTATTATACGTCATGGGTAGGATATCAAACTAAATACAACCATCATAACTATATATATAACATATTTTCATATTTACTATTTTTATAATTATCCACTATCATACACCTTATAACACTTACTTGGCCATATAGACTAATATGCTTTTATAAAATAAGAGGGTGTCCTTTTTGGTCCACTTCTTCATCTTCCTTCTCATCTAAGAACATAATATTTTTTGTAATGTGATTTCATATACGCAATTTTTGGTGATATTGAAAGCAAACAATTTCTTTTAGGTTCTTAGAAGTCAATTCATTTATTATCTTCTTGGGTGGGGGACTAAAACATGAAGGGTCACGTACGTCTAACGGTAGACTTTTAGGCTTAAAATGAGAAATTTGTCATAGCTAAAAGGTCCTCAAATATGTTTTCGTAGTTTATTACTTGAATTTTCCCTTACTTTAATGTCAATAGTTAGGTTTACTTTTTATGTATATTTAAATTTAAAGTATTTATTTTATATGATTTAAAAAATTTTCAAAAGAAAAGGTATTCATATAAATTAAAATATAAATATATTTTATAGAAAGTAAATATTACATTTTATTTGCTAATTGTGAGGTGATTAATAACACAATATAAAATCAGCTCAAATATTTTTGTTATTTGATTATATAATAATTTTAGTTTTATTGTCAATAACAATTTTTTTTTATTATACGTCATGGGTAGGATATCAAACTAAATACAACCATCATAACTATATATATATATATATATAACATATTTCATATTTACTATTTTTATAATTATCCACTATCATACACCTTATAACTCTTACTTGGCCATATAGACTAATATGCCTTCATAAAATAAGAGGGTGTCCTTCTTCGTCGACTTCTTCATCTTCCTTCTCATCTAAGAACATAACATATTTTGTAAAGTGATTTCATATATGCAATTTTTGGTGATATTGAAAGCAAACAATTTCTTTTAGGTTCTTAGAAGCCAATTCATTTATTATCTTCTTGGGTGGGGGACTAAAACATGAAGGGCCACGTACGTCTAATAGTAGACATTTGGGCTTAAAATGGGAAATTTGTCAATCTTGATTTTTAAAATTGTCATAGCTACAAGTTCCTCAAATATGTTTTCGTAGTTTATTACTTGTTTCTCCCTTACTTTAATGTCACTATTTTTTAATGCAATTTCTTCTCATGAATGAATTCAACTTTAGATTATAGGTAGTATTCAAGTTTCAACATTTGTTTTCATCTCTACCTAGGTTAAAAATATTCTACCTTATCTTTTCTCATTTGTTGAGACATTATCCCAATAAAGTTTGGCATACCTATTAATTTTAACTTAAAAAAGATGGTTCGTTGACAATCATCCATTTGAAACGCATGAAAGAATTCATCTTTTTCGATGAACCATTCTAAAAACATATTAGGATTATGAATACCACCATAGGTTGTGGCTTCTTCTACCTTATCTTTTTTTGTGAATTACCATATGATCATGGTGCCTATGATGTGCATTCATATTATGGTTTCTAAACTGATATCTTCTAAGGTTTATCACAAACTCTTCTCCTATAGGACCAATTTCAGCTTGGTCCTAGGTCGATGGTTAGTCTTCCATCATAGTGTCCATAACTTTCAAGTGGGTAATTAAGTTCAAATCTCCTCTTATAGCTTTTTTGAAGTTTTCTTCACTATGTAAGGCAATCGAAGATCCCCTTCTTGATAAAATTTTCACTTGATTCATGTTAGTATATTTTGGTGGCATGTTTTAAGCAGCGTGGATGCAATGTTGATGTAATGTGGGAATTTTTATAATTCCTTTAAAGTATACAATGAGTAATTGCCGAAAACATGAAAATATGCTTAAAATGATTTCTTAAAATTTTTATATCATTCACACTAATGTAATGAGAAAGTAAAACTAATTAACATAACATTGCTTGTAAAAATCTTTATAAAAAAATCTAAATTTGAAATGTATAGATCTACTATTGATTGGAACTTAGGTAAAAGCTAAATTTTAAAGTGGATTACTTATTTTCTAATTTTATTTCACTCTAGTAACTTGAAGGTGAGATACGTTTAAAGGGTGATTGCTTTAGTACATGAATATACATGTAACTGGTTCACACATTTACATTAAACTATAGAATTGATATAACATGTAATTTGCCTCAGATTTTTGTAATAGAATATTTAATTATCATAACAAAGAATAGATAAACATTGAAATCAAAGAAATGACATTTTTATGGAATTTAATTCACCAGTTCAAGCAATTTTCCAAGCATTCAATGCTCTTGGTAATGAAGTTTCGAATGCTAGTCCTCCAACCCAAACTTTGAAACAAATTTTTTGTGTGGTCTATAGTTAGACCACATTGGCATTAAATTTTGGGCTTGACGAGATTCTAAAATGATTTAGCATTGATGTATAATCCTTGAGAAGGGTTGAAGTACATATTGTTCGAATAACAAGAAAAAATAGAGAAATTTGAGAGTGCATGGAATCTAGCAAAATATTCATGAATAGACTTAAGGCTTTGAGTGTTTCAAAATGGGGGAACTTTGAGGCTTGAAAACTCTTGTAGATAAAAG